TGAATGTTTGAGCCGTAGCAATGTCACGTATGAATAATCTAAAACTGATCGGATGGCTTGAAGATCCTCAGACGACTCATCCATCAAAAGAACATATAAACAGTGAAATATTTGACTGTTCAAAAAAAAAAGACAAGGAATGGTGGTTATTAATCAGCAAAATAGGTTGAACGTTTTGATAGAAATTGGCCACCCTTCTTATTATGCACGGCCCACCAGAAAGAAGGTTTTACAAAAAATTATAGGGTGTCAGACCTAGTACAACAAACAGCTCAAGAGACTTTGAGTTCCTACATTGTTGTGATAATGCATTCATTAGGGGTTGATCCAGAAACATATGTATATACCAATAAACCGTTATATTTTCGTAGATGACAAGCTTTTAAAAAGCGCCAGTAGATGCTTCACAAAAAAAAGCACCACTACTCTTATCAGTGAAAGTGTCAGCAAGGTAATAACTCTGTGTAGACGGTGTATTTCTACTTATGACTCAAAAAAATGAAAGTGTGTATCCGGTATCTTTTGTATTCGATGCATTCAGCAAATAATGATCATCCTAGAATTCTCTCTCATTTGACTTTGACTATCAGCATTTCCAATAAGTGTACTTTAGATGGCCAATACATTTCCCCGCACTTTCCCGGCTCCCAATAAGTACCTTCGACTACTTCTAATAATAAACAATACAAATAGTTTCCACTGGGTTGCGTTTTTTTCCCAGATATGGCATTTCTATTTACCACTCCTACTAATGAGGAAGTATTGTAATCGCGAAAAATTCCCAGAGTGAGATATTATGTCTTTTGGACTTTATATAGCATGTACATCACTGTCACTCATTTACGAGGATCTGTTTGTCTGTTATCCTTGGACCGCTTGTAACTGGGAAAGTACTGCTCGGATTTTGATAAAATTTTCACAGAAAGTCACTACTGTATCAAGGACGAAAAATCTGTCCAGTGGCTGCGGAACCAGGGGCAAAAACACGAAAAAATGAAATGTGCTTAAATTTTCAGAGGGTCCTTATCCTTTTCAGAAAACTTTTTGCAGGGGTTGAAAATCCAGTTTAATGTTATAGGAGAATATCTCATTTTGTAGGCGGCAGTATATTCATACGCGTCAAACAGTAATTTTACGCACATATCAGTGGGTACATAATATATGACGTGTTTGACTGGAGTGGTTCAGCTGCATTGCCAGTTGGTCAATACTTTAGGCAGGGAAGAAACTAACGTCAGCCTACTTCTGAAAAACGTGAAAAGTATTTCACATACTTTCTACTGTCCTAGTCGCAGAGTATCCTAAAATATACTAAGTGACATATAAATCCGAACACCCAGTTTTAATAGTTTAATTTTAACAAAAGTTGGTGAATGTATTTATCTTACTATAAATAACAAGTGAAAAAATTTTCAGCCTTATCAGTTGGACATTCCGGTTTTTATACTGCTTTTTTTTAATTCACTAACCCTCTAATAATGAATATTTCAGCCGCAGTAAAGAATCAACGTTGGCGGATTTTGGTTCTTGACATCCTTTACGATCGGTTACGATGCCTAGAGTACGGAGACCTGTAGGATTTCGTCAACTTAGTGAGTTTGATAGGAGCTGTATAGTGGGACTTAGGGAAGCTGGACTTTCTTTTCGGGCAATTGCAGTTAGAGTGCAAAGAAGTGTAGACACTGTGGTTAGGTGTTGTCAGGCATGGCTTCGAGAAGGCCGTACGCAAAGAGCAAGGGGCACTGGACGCCGCCGTAGAACAACAGACCGTGAAGATCGCCGCCTAAGATTATTGGCCTTAAAGGACCGTTTCTCCACTACCAGGTCCATTGCAAATGAATGGTTTGCAGAACACGGAAGGCCTATTGGCATGCGAAGTGTTTACCGACGAATGAGAAGTTTTGGCTTGTTTTCATACCGGCCACACTGGGTCCTCCCTTTAACTCGAGAACACTGACGTAATCGCCTTGAGTGGTGCAGACAACGGTCACTCTGGGATCAGGAATGGAACAGTATTGTCTTTAGTGACGAGTCTCGATTTTGTTTAGGCATGCACGATGGTCGTGCCAGGGTTAGAAGGCGACGTGGTGAAAGGAGGAATCCACAGTTTTTGTTGAAAGGCATGTTCATCACACTGTTGGAGTTATGGTTTGGGCTGCTATAGCTTATGGTTCCAGGTCACCTTTAATCTTCATCAGAGGTAACATGATTGCGCAGCGTTATATCCACGAAGTTCTAGAACACCATCTTTTACCCTATCTTGACACCCTGGCAGATCCAACTTTCCAACAAGATAATGCCCGACCACATGTTGCAAGAGTCACAATAGACTTCTTTCAACATAATGATGTCACATTGTTACCATGGCCACGAAGATCTCCCGACTTATCCCCAATTGAGCACGTGTGGGATATGATGGGTAGGAGATTGCTCAATTTGCAACGTCCTCCTCAGACTCTAGAAGCACTTCGAGAGGAGTTGGTGGTTGCCTGGAATGAGATACCACAGGAGGACATTGACCACCTGATCAGAAGCATGCCTAGGCGCGTTGGAGAATGCGTAGCACATCAGGGTGCATTCACACATTATTAAAGGTCAAAGGGCTTTAAAGCAGTGCAATCATTTTGAAATTTTTATCATTTACTTATTATGCTTCATTAAGTACTTATACAAAATTTTATTAAAATAAAACCATTTAAACTGGGTGTTCGGATTTATATGTCACTTAGTATAATTTATTATTTATCTCCGAACTATCAGAGTTCCTATGCAGGATTGATCTGGCTTTATTATTCGGTAGCTGGCGATTAGTTTATTTTACGTTTGACGCACTAGAAATGCCTGTTTCTACCACTGTCCTTTTCCCCAAATTTCATCAGCGTCCCTGCACCCTATATGATGTAATAACAATGACTCGAATAGATTAACAGACCGACCAAAGGGTAAAAGTACAACAATTATTTTCGAAATACGCAAATAAAAAGAAAACACCCAAATGGGAACTGTACAATCTTCTCGGACACAATACTTCCCTCGCTTATACTTGTGAAATAAAAATTGTCTGATATAATGTAGATGGGCATTTGAAATTTATTGCCGATATCGGCTAGCTCTATCCCGAAAGAGCAATCCTTATCAGTTAGCGTTGAGTTACGGGCTCTATCGGTTTTTCAATTTTCAATAAGTGCATCGGCTCAGCTTTACATTCTGCTTTACATGGACTGTTAGAACAAAACGAGCAAGCGTCAGCGGGTAAGTCGATCCGGGAGTTGTCCCTGAGGATCTTAGAGGGAGGCAAAATACGATCAGTCGAGGGATGGGGCTGACTCGCTGCCCCATGAATGATCCGCAAAGGGACGGTAATTTTTTAATAATTGACTGGCGTCCGGTGAAGGAGATGAGTTACGAGACAGAAGATCTTGTATGGGACGAAATGATGGTATGATTATATAACGCGCTGAGGATAGCCTGTGGGGATTGGAAATATTATAGTTAGTGAAAGGGAGTAATCTCGAAGATACTTGCGAAAAAATGTGAACGGGAAAGGAAATTTTAACGATATGTAAAAAGCATCTCTTGATTGGAGACCATAAATCCTCTGATTATTATGACCGTTGGGTGCTAGAAATTATAGTAGTTCTTCATGTGTTAGTATTTAAACTAAAGTGTGCGTTTATGGCTCGCGACGTGAAATTAGAGCCATAGATTACATATTACGTTCAGGGTACATTTTATCTACGACTGGCTACAAAGTAAATATACATATCTAAAGGGTGTTTCAATAAGGACGCAATACTTCAAGGTTCTATTAAACATGGCATTTCGTAACAAACAACTGAAATATTTATTTTATTATGGAATTATGTATGAAACAACACATCAGGTAAATGGCTGCCACGGCTCCGATGGCACATGCGTACTCTTTTAATAAAATTTGCGGTAACATTTTTGAATACATGTCGTGGTATCTCGTTGATACAGCGTCTGATTTCAGCTTTCAATGCTTCGGTGGTTACAGGCTTGTTGGCATAAACTTGTGACTTCAGATAACCCCAAAGCCAAAAGTCCAAAGGTGTTAAATCGCAAGAGCGTGGCGGCCAATTCTGGCCACCAAACCGGGACATAACTCGACTAGGAGCAAATTCGTGCAAAACTGCCAATGTTTCATAAGCCACGACTTCTAATTATGGCACAAAAAACTGAGTAATCATTGCACGATAACGTTCGACATTCACTGTTAGTGGATCACCCGCCTCGTGCTCAAAGAAAAACGGTCCAATAATTCCTCCAGACCATAGTGCACACCAAACAGTGACACGTTTTTTATGCATAGTTTTCTCATGAATTACTCTGTGCCCCAAATGCGGCAGTTTTGTCTATTGACGAAGCCATCGAGATAAAAATGGGCCTCATCGCTAAAAATTAATTTGTCTACAAAATCACCATTCACATACTGTTGGCCAAGGATCCAATTGCTGAACCCTCTTCGCTGTGCATGGTCTGTTAGCATAAGCTGTTGAGTCAACTAGACTTTGTAGGCATGCAGGTGTAAATCTTTCGTTAGAATAGGCTGTAGAGTGGCTGTTTCAATATCCAAATGCTTGAGCGCGATGACGAATCGACGTCCCTGGACTCTCGGCTACATTTTCGCGTACTGCCTCACATTTTCTTCAGAATGACCGCTGCGAGCTCGTCTCCTATGTTTCACATCATTAACAGAACCAGTACTTTAAAATTTTTGGATTATTCTTTTCACAGTGGATGGGGTAGGAACATTATTCCGATGGAATATTAGCTGCACTTTTCGAATCGTGACAATTAAAGTTTCACCACTTTGGTAATAATTTTAAACAATTAGGATACGCTGTTCTATTGTGTAATGATTCGTTTTCATAAACTCTCGCCTGTCTACTATGGATCTGTCATGTCACAATCAGTATGACATTATGACTACAAAAATAGCGCTAAATTCAAATATTGCGTTCTTATTGATACACCCTTTAGTACTTCTTTAATAGATGTCAAAATAAAAAAAATTAGCTGCATATAAATATATCCAATAAGGAAAACTGTAATATCTACCCTGATCCAAAATTTTGTTCCCGATAGGCTTATATTGTCAAAAACTTGAATAATATTTTGAAAATACTTGTAATTTCACTAGTATGTCGGACCTTCCCGATCTCCTGATAAAGGTCAGGACTTTATTGACCATTAAGCTGCGTAAGCAACTTCACTATCAAACTCCATAGCCTCAGATCGTTAGACGTAGACGTAGAAACTGGAACGCTGTCTTGTCCTGCTCAGAGCACATGCGGCAGGTTGGATCTCTCTTCACCCTTAAGTGCAGTGGCCGGTGAGATTCCCCACCAAAAGGTTAAGAGATTACCTACCCTCATCCAGTAGCCAACGCGTCTAAAGTTTGTTGGGACCCGCTATGAGCCTCTTGGCCTGTATGCAGCTATCTCTCTCTCGTCATGCTTTTCCCAGGTCCCTATTCACTTATTCACTCAGAGCGATGTTGGCCTGGACCCTGCTTTACCCAGCCTAGGCTTATGAACAGTTAAGATAAAGTTAGACATAACTTACTTTAAAAATCTGCACAGGAGGTTGTTATGAGACTTACAGAGACGAGTTGTCAGCGAGGGAATTACCGCCCTCTATCCACTATCAGGGGAAAAATCGGAGCGTCTTGCATATTGACACAACGCCCATTGACCGTCGAGGTATCCTAGGCCTGTGTGACCGCCTAGCTTCTTCTCGAGACAGTCGCTGGAGTCTGAAAGTGTGTCATGGCAAGATGTGTATAGGGATTGGTAGAGATTGTCATGCTGCTCGGTTATATCTGAATCAGGGGTTACGTCGGAGCTTTTGAGTCTTGAAACGGCAACGTGATATCCTGGTTTCTGGGCTGCTTTTCGTAACAACCAAAAATTCGGCATATCTGTCTAAGCACCAGTACCAAGGTATACATATCGGACGTATCGACATTTCCATGCTGTTCCCCCGTGCGAGGTATTTCCATATCCGGTGTGACTTCCATGCGATATGGTGCTATGGTTCCCCCGATACAATGTTTTGTTCTATGATCAGTATCAAGACAGCAGACTTGTGCATGTCATGAGTCGGTAATATATGGAAGGTACACAGAATGTTTGTCCAAAAATAGGCTAGGTGCCGTCAACCCAGTTCTATCGACCCTATCTCTCGCCAAGGAAGGACAACTCCCCTGTCGTTACGTCACCGAAGTTATCCGGACATTGAAGCCCTTGTTAACTTGTTTATGTACTACCCTCGTAATAAAAGTAAGAAGGTACAGCGTGGTACTTCGAGCTCTTGTAAGGCACGATTGCTGTTTTCTAATGGTTATCATTACCCGATGGTAATGATAAGCATTAGAATCCTCCTACAACTGTTGGAGTCGATCCTCGACTCCCTCAACTGACAATAGGGCGGTACTAGTATTATGTTTATCTTTACTAGAAAGTTCTAAAATACATTTGAAGGAAACACACTACAATTTGAATTGAAGCTGAGAGATGACTGCCATTTTACACTAGTTGGTGTCGATCCCACAATACTTCAGCGAATCCAGTTGTCCGGCCTCGGTAATCGGTGGCGGTGATAAAGCAATTGAAATCACCAACTTAATAAATTAGCATTAACGGTGGCCTGTGCTGTGGAGAGCAGTGTGTAGGTACGTTTTTGTTGGATCTCTTAATGAATTCAGCAGAAGCCTTAACAACTCCGCGGTGCGCACAATTTACAATATTCCGATAGGGCCGTGCGATGGGCTATCAGCAGCAGGCTGGCGCTTGCGGGTCTCTTTGTGGACCGAGTGTGTGTTTCAATCGGGAGCATGTTCTCTGTGCTGCTTGCTCTGTGCTCTTAGAACGATTGTATCTTTCAGTATTTATTCGGTAGTTGCGATGCCGATGTCGCCAGTCTGTGCTGGGTATCGACTCTGGATGTTCCTACAGAACATAGAACAGTCAATGTTTCAGAAGTTTCAATATAGGCTGAAGAAATGCCGTATTGCATCAACGTTGAATAAGGGAGAACATAGAGCTGATGAAGATGAACGAAAACTGGCCTTTACGAAAATATTATTCATTTTGAAGGTAATGCTAAAAGATCTCTCGAGTATCTTCCGAGTATATGCTAGTTATGAAGATAGGTCTATTCAAGTATCAAGTAAGTGCTATAGGAGGCGGAAAGGTTCTGCTTTGCTTATCTTTGACGACGTGGTGGATGGAATAGACGATGATTAGGTTAGCAATATTTATGTTTTACGCTTTCGGATTCACTATAAAGTTAGGTATTTTTTATTTGAAAACTGGCAGCCATGCCTGTCTGTGCTCGAAAGCATAGTGAATCCTCAGAGATACCCCAAATAGAGACTTGTTTACTCGCCTAGAGCCTTAGTTATAATTGCATATAGCCGGGTAGAGCGCATACTGGCTTCTCCTGGTCGGAAACTTCCTGGTTTGATTCTACTTCATGACCATTTTGGGTCTCATTCGGATGAACGTCGATGTTACAATTAATAAACATTTGGAAAGAAAAAATCTCGCGATTCAATGGAGACATTAAATGGTATTCAGAGCATGCGCGTGAAAGCCAATACCTGAATTATAAAATGTACCAAAATGTTCACGTAAGCATGGGAGGAGTTGTGAGGGACTTACTCACTTTTGCTAACACGGGGGTTGGGGGGGTTAATAAGCTGTGTAATACTTGAAAGGCCCCGATGATGGTTTCGCTGTTTTTAATAAAACGACAGGTTCTTTATAGGGTTTTGTCAAAAAACTGAACAATCAATTTGAGTCAGTTAAATTCATATGTGAAATTGAAAATGACTAACAGTTATCGTTCTTAGACGTTTTGGTCAAAATGAGCAACGTAAGCAACTTCGAATTTAATGCTTACAGAAAAGAAGCGCATACAAAATAACCAACGACTCGAACTACTGTAATATAAAATAGCTAATTCTAACTTACTGGTTCACAGACTAGTAACCGGTTTGTTCAATAGCGAATAGACCACGTATACTATAACTATACTATATACACCTTCGTGTTTGTCGATTCTCTGTAATATATAAAATTTTGTGCTGTCTTACAATATGAATATTTAATTAAACCTGAAAACATCACCCTTAATTTCAATGCTAATAGAGAATTTCTAATTTATTTAACACCGGTCAACTTGTGTTGTAGGTAGGTTTTTATCGATTTCTCAGCACCCAAATGTGGAGAAAAGTCCTTTTTTGCTAACTTGTGTATTTTTCATACGCTATTCACTAGTGGGCATGCTTTTTATGACTGTCAAAAAATAACGTTTAATTGTTTATAAGGTAAAAATAGATATACCACTAGCGACGCTTCTTTACGTGGTTTGTAAAGAAAATTCTCTTTCAACACAACATTATAATAAGCATATGTAAAGAGAATGAGCCTAATATGAGGGTCGTGCGATTAATCCAAAGTCGGTGGACGGTTCGTCAAAAAAGACCATGTTTCATAACAATTACGAAATTGCAGAAAGTGTTTTTTGAATTAACTTTCTTATGGACTTTAAAAACCACAAAGGCTTCAACTTTTGACTGTTATATTAGATTTATCGTTATGTACTTTCCAGTAAGAAATGCATTCAGAAATAGACGACTTCTGACGGTTTTTTTCTAATAACAAACTAACAGTTACGGCAAATTGGTCGTGGAGAGTCGCAGGTAGTATTTTCATCCACTACAAATCCTTTTGGATCACTCAAATCAATAATTGGTAACTATTTCAATATAGGTAACAAAGTTATTTTTCTAAATTTCATGTTTAATAAAAGAGTTAGCCATCAAAATTTTTTGTGTCTCTCGATGAGGAGCCTTGTCACGTACCCTAAAGAATACAGGGTGACTTTGAAGTTGAGTCATTAATTTTCAGATAATGATTGTAGAAGGAAGATAAACCAAAACATGTGTGTAAAAAGAAAAAAAAAGAAAAAAAAAATTTTACCTTGTTTTATAAAGTATCCTCCCGACAAGTATTTCAGTGCGGACCTTTATTTGATCGTGAGGTCTTGGAGCACCGGCATGCAGTCCCCTGTGTGGTCTTAAGTCACCTGATTCACGAGCCCGTTGTACTACATTAACAAAGGCACGAGGGGTTGGTTGCACTCGATTGGGAAACCGATCCGCATAAACATGCGCCATTTTTTATTTCGTTTGAGCCACGCAACAGACACCACTATTCACTCACGCGTTCCCGACAGACGCTGACTGTATGCAACTGACTAAAATAATTGTAAAAACATCGTTCCAAATTCTTTCGCTTTTTTGTTTCCGATGCGATGAACCAAACACGAGCACATAATATTATTATTGAGACAGGGCGGTACTCAAACTTCTAAAGGGCTATAACTTTGTTACTTTAATTTTACCAGAAAAATGGTAAAGGAAAAAAACATTTCTTTTGATCAGATCTACTCACTGTTAAAATACATGACTCAACTTCGAAGTCACCCTGTATAATTCCGTTTTAAAACCGCTCATAACTCTATTCTGAAACAGGGTCGATTTTTGGCTAGTCAGCTTGGTCTATATATAATAGAGCTATGGGCTAGCGATGCCGGCTCCTGTCTTTGGCCACTGTATCTCTATCTGCCGCAGTACCTCCGACTGCGGTACCGCTGCTGTCCGGCGGCGCTATCTCTATTACACCAGCCCACTGGATTATTTTACATTTACACGCATTTCGCTACCTAGACGACGACATCTTGGTTGCCATTAGCAGGGAATGCTGCAGCTTCAAACCATCCTAATGAAATTGTACTGCAAGCTTAACTCCCAGCCTCGATCCATGGGAAGCATTGTGCTTAAAGAAGTAGTCGAGTGGAATGACTAATTCTTGCCTTGTACTCCTTACACTGGTACAGTTCAACAATAGCACCGTGGCACAGAATATGACACGTACACGTACCCCACTCCTCAATACATAATATATAGTACTTGATG